CACCATATTTGACCTCGGCACTAGTTGGTGGTAAGTGGTCAGCTTCACGGCCCGGTCGCTTTAACCCCTTGGAAAACACCGTTTGTACCCAGTGCANGCAACGACTGTCTATTCTGGCTGCACTATTCGGGCTTTCAGGCGTTAATGGGGGAGAGACAGACACATAGACACACAGAGCAAGTTCTTCTCAAAATCTTCCTTTTATTTTTCCAAAATAAGAGATGTAGACTAAAAAGGGGGAAATCTAGTAAATATCAACACTAAAAACTGGAGCAGTTTAAAACAGTTCTTCTACCCTGAATACTCAAAGCGATCAGTGAAAACCTTGAACGGTTCCTTCAAACGGCTTAAAGTCTGCATGCCAATTTCCTGGCGGCACCGTCGCCTCAGCGACACCCACGGTACAGTATTCTGGGATGTGACGCCGTTTATTCTGGTAGATATTCACTGACGTTTCAGAGGAATGTACTACCTCCATCTTTAGAGTCTAAGGGAAGGCCAAGCAAGTGAAGAGCAAACACAAATTCTCCTTGCTTACTCGGCTTAGTCTTGAACCCTGAAGATGGAGGCAGTACGTTGCTGCATGATAATAGTAATGATTATGAAGACCGTAATAATCATGATTATCATGGTGATGGTGATGACTGTAATTATAATAAAAGTATTGATTTTACTTATGACTACCAACTATGAAAGAATTTCTCGGTGACTGGCCCTAACAGAGGGTACCATCCCGGTACCTTTAATAAGCGTCCTTCAGTAACTAAAATTGTCCCTGTGCTTAATTTGCTAAGCGTCCACGCTACGAAATCCTGTTGGGAGTGAAGACATCGCTCCACCATATTTGACCTCGGCACTAGTTGGTGGTAAGTGGTCAGCTTCACGGCCCGGTCGCTTTAACCCCTTGGAAAACACCGTTTGTACCCAGTGCATAGGAGACTGGATGGGCCCCAGAGCCTGTCAGAACGCTGTGGAGCAGAGAAAGATCTCTTGCCTTTGCTAGGAATAGAATCCCAGCAGTCCAGTTTGAGGCCCTTTGCTATACCAACTCCCCCGCCATTTTAATACATACAGAAATTAGACACGTTTAAGTACTCGCGTAGCCGTGTAGTACACATACACGCGCGCAAACAAACACGCTACCTGAAATACAAGGTTTATGTACCACCAGCGTTTGCAACAGACTGCACTTAGGCCTGTGTGTTTTGAAGAATGCTCACAATAGTAACTATTGTTTTTCTAAATAGCATGAACCAGTTGGATAATGAGCCTGCGCAATTTGTTGCAATTACGGGAGCTTTTAACAACCAATAAAGCAAAAACACACGATGAAGTGTGCAGATCAAACGTGGAATTATGTTAATAAAATAAAATAATTTTCAATGCTTGTAAATTCTTACAAATGCGTCAAGAGCGGGTCTCCGTGCAACGCAAATAGACCTATGGGCCTATTTATATTTGTTTTATCTCTCTTTTGAAGTTCCTTACTTTAATTGTAATTTATTGCCTGCCTGCAGGAAAGATGGCTGCCAACAACGTAAAAGTGCAGCGTTAACTAATAACGGCCAGCATATGGTATCTACGGTTTCCACATTCATCATGAGTGGTAACTACTTGCATAACTTATGTTTGAAACTTTTTATTCGGTACTTTGTTGTCTATTGTGAAGTAGATACAAGCAATGATGGTTTTCATATAAAATATTGGAATACACCCACATATTCATTCTCTTCGAAATTGTGGCCACAAAATTTTCTCTCTGCCTTAACAATGCATTACGTGTTTCGTTCGGGTAATGCTTGCCATCGTTTAGCACGGAAACATTATCTTCTCGTCTGATATCTAAAAACGCGAAAATTAAAATCTACAAAATTATAATTTTGCCTGTGGTTCTATATTGGTGTCAAACTTGGTCTCTGACATTACGGGAGGAACATAGACTGAGGGTGTTTGAGAAGAGAGCGCTGAGGAGAATATTCTGACCGAAGAGAGATGAAGTGACGGGAGGTTTGAGAAAACTACATAATGAGGAGCTTCATAACTTGTACTCGTTTTTTTTTCCTGTGGCGCTACAGCCCCCATTTTGGGCCTAGGCCTACCTCCATGAAACTCTCCATTTCACTTCGGTTTACTAGATCTTACACATACGGTAGGACTCCTTGGGCGAGTGATCAGCTCGTCGCAAGGCCTCTACCTGTAGACAAACACAGAAAAACGCACACAAACATCCATGCCCTGAGTGGGATTCGAACCCACGATCCCGGCTTCCGAGCGAGCGAAGACAGTGCACGCCTTAGACCGCTCGGCTACCGTGACCGGCTAACTTGTAATCTTAGCCAAGTATAATTAGGTCGATAAGGTCAAGGAGGATGAGGTGGGCAGGGCATGTAATAAACATGGGCAAAATATTAATGCATACAGGGTTTTGACGGGAGAAACCAGAAGGAAAAAGAACTAGACGCAGGTAGGAGGATAATATTAAAATGGATCTTGGAGAAGTAGGCTGCCGTGGTATGGGCTTGATTAATGTGGCTCAGTATAGGGACCAGTGGACGGCTCGTGTGAACACGGTAATAAACCTTTGTGTTTCATAAAATTTTGGGAAATTCATGAGAAGCTGAGCTACCGACAGCTTCGCAAAAAGGACATGGCTCCATGTAGTTAGTTACTGGTAACTTCCAGAACTGAAATCTGTAATCCATACACGTTCACAGTGTTTGCTCTCGCGTCTAAATATTATTACTTTCAGTTGCATTTCTGTTGATACGAAATGTTCTCCGGGCTGCGCGAATTTCTTTGGAAAGCGACATTGACAAATGTGAAACATACTGTCACGTGTAAGTTTTGAGGTTTTCACGGCGATGACAATGAAGAAANCTGGACACTCACACTCACACACCTTACAATTACTATCGCTTGCAGTGCCACTTGACCTCTGGCCCAATTGTCTAGTACTCAACTTCCGTTCGTGGCCAGGCCCTTTATATAAGGCGCACGCGGACTCAATAGAGGTTCGATCTCACGTGTTTGGCAATCCGTTGCTTCGGGAACGCTCCTTATAGATTACACCGGTAACGTGTTTCGTCTCATCCGTTGTTACTCAACGACAATTCGTTGCTACGATTTGTCGCCCCGTTAACTCCCCAATTTCCACGTATCCGTTGCCGTGGAAGTGTCCGTTCCGAGTGTAGCGGTTGTCGCGGCGATGGACGTAAGGTAACGCGTCACAATACATTGTGTTTACGTTCTGATTGTCGCTTTTATTTCAGTGCAATTTTTTCTCGTGTTACTTTAAAATAACTAACAACTATTGCCATGAAATTATCCGTGCGCTCGGTTAAGCACCACGCTATGAAGACGTTGGTGTATAGCTCCACCAGGAAGTGAGTGGTCGATTTCGCCCCTTTCTGCTTTTCCCCCGGGGAAACAGACCACAGTGTACGTTATGTAGGAGGATGGGTGTGCCCTCGAGTCGGTCTGCGCACTGTGGAGCATAGAATAATCTTTTGACCGTGCCGGGAATCGAACCCTTGTAGCCTAGTCGCTATACCGTTTGAGCTATCCCAACTCGCTCTGTAACTTCCATGTAGTCAGTTATAAAATACAGAACACGATTTTCCAAAATTTCTAACATCACCGTCTCATGTTGATTACCATTCGTTAAGGTGGCACCATGTAGCTTCATTGATAGTTATCAACGTCATGGAGGAAGCAGTTTCTTTCGATGCTGTGGTACTTATCCACCAGACTAAACGGCGTCAATTCCCAGAAGGCAGCAATCTTAATGGTCACCCCCGTTTGAACCCCAAATCTCACATAATACGAGTATGTAGTTTCAAACCCTTGTAACCCTATTGAACATGGGGCCTTACGCTTTCAGCAGACTTTTCTGTATTTTGACCTAACGAATCCTAAGTGCAGTAAATGAAGTGAGATTGGCTGTTCTTCCTTTTGTACGATATGTACACTGCATAAAAGCGATTAGGAAGTAGACCTAACCTAGTTCTTGAAATACGTAATTTATTCTGTCTTGTTCAAGACGAAAAACTCTCACATCTTATCTGTTTACGTCACGAAAAGGGATTCCCCGAATGAGTTCCTGTTCAGAAATTCCAAGAACCGAGATCCTAGTCCCCTGGGATGAAATTCAAGCAGAGGAATGATCAACTGTGCATTGTGGTCTAACAGATCCCCTCTCTGTGACTCGCAACTCTCATCACCAGTAGCCCCCNCCGTGTTTCTTGCTCTACGAGAAAGAGCCAGTTATTTAGTTCACAGAGGTTAAGTTATGTCTGTCGGACGCAGCCAAGTGCACGAGTCTCTCTCTCTCTGCTTATAAGACATCTTTGTTTCGTATTTGTGGAAACTCTTATCTGAGAACGAAGCTCCTACCTTTCGTAACCGACATAAAACTTTTGATCTGTTGAGTCTGCTTTAGTTCTTAGGAGCGTGACGAACATATACAATTACTCTTAGGACTCAGAGTGTGTCAGAACAGGTTATCACGTGGCCCCAAGGGAGAAAAAGTAATAGCGATTATGAAAAAGAAATTATAATGAGGAACTTCATAATTTGTATCCTCAAATATTTATAACGCTGGTCAAATTAATGAGGATAAGACGCTCGTGGCTTATAGCAAACGCTGGAAACAAAATAAATGCATACAAATTTTTTGGTAGGAAACTGTGAAGGAAGAGAGAACGTTTGGAATACGTAGGCTTATTTGGGCGGATAATATTAAAATGGGTCTTAAAGTCATAGGATGAAGATTATGGAATTGATTCATGTGGTTCAAAATAGGGACCAGTGGCCGACTATTACGATAATGACACGTTGGGTTTCTCAAGATGGAATTTCCTTACTAGCCCGTAGCGATGGACTCTGCTTTATGGAGATATTTGGTTAGGTACAGCTCACCACAATTCCGTACATTCAGGATCTGAACCTTTAAGCTGTTACATCACAGTTTTCAAAGCATGAAAGTAAAAATATCGCATTACCTTAGCTCCGAAATGGACTTGTCGTCTTCTCACCTGCCGACAAGTTGTTCTGATGCTTCCCAGTCAATACTTGTCACAAGGTTTGCGGCTCTGTCAAACTTCAGAGTTGAAATCCAAATCGGATCTCTAGTACAAGGCACGGCAGTTTCTGCAAACGTATCAAAACGAATCAATTAATAATAATTGAAGAATACTATCTTCTGATGTAGCGGGATCGAGTCCCGATGAGGTCATGGGATTTTTCAATTGATCTAATCCTTCCAGCTGCACTATGGTCTTTGGGGTCTACTAGGCCTCTAACAGAAATGAGTACAAGCAATCTTCCTGGGGGGGGGGGTAAAGGGGGGCCGGTCGGCGCGTAAGGCTGACCTCACCGCCAACTGTGAGTCGACTGTCTAGACTCGACGTCTCACAAAACTATGGGCCTCCACGGCATGTTACATGGATAACTTTACCTGTACTTTACTGTCTTCTGGTTTATAAGGCCGTGTAGTCCGCTAAAGGCTAGACGTTATATACAAATGTACGACATCCTTGAAGCACACTGTGTTAGCCGCTTGCTTGGCTTACCCTTCTACCCTGAAGATGGAGGCAGTATGCTCCTCCGAAATTCCGGCGAGCTTTCACCAGTCAACATGACGGCATATCCTTTGTAGCAGTCATAGAATGTTGCCCCTTTAAGTTTAACTGCTGTAATTCTTCTAAATAATTTATAAATCCAGTTCGTACCTCAGTAAAACACATTACGTCTCCGTACAAAGACCAACCGGTTAATGCTGTTTAGGGAAACAGTCGCTGTTTATTGTGAGAACCATACGGAACACATAAATACACTGTGGGCAGAATGCAGAGTTTTGGTATGTTCAAGCAGGTGGTACATTTTGTTACCACTGGGCTTTAAAAAGTTAATTGTCATTGATAAAGCAACTGCGGCGTTGCCTTTACCATACACACAGTTGAGTGCACATGTCACGCCTGATGAGCATGGCGTATACGGAAAGAATTGATATTTTTAAGTGTATTTGTGTGCTACAGACATATTTGCACAGTCGAATACCATTGCAGATATTTTGCGAGTTACAACGTCGTTCTGTAATCGGTTTCCATTTTATGGGCTGTTTTACGACGCTCTCAGCATGAGGACTATGTCTCATAAAGGGAAGGGACGTGGAAGGAAGCGGCAATGGCCATAAAATCACGCTTATTAAAGCAGGCGTTAGAACAGAACATTCGCTGTTGCATTATACGAGCCGATGTTTCTATAGGACATTCCTTTAGAACTCTCTCCTAATTCCTACTATAAATCAGCTTAATATAACAGTAAAACATATCACATATCTTGCTCATGTTGGAATTCACCAGCAGGTGTTACGTTTCAATATCACTTTTGTGTCTCTTTCACTTTCATATCCGAGCTAGAACTCCCCTGTTTTCCGGGCTGACCTGGCGTAACCTTGACCTTACACTGGTTGCCTAGGTCACCTACTTCGTTATGATCTGCCTTGGTCACGCGGACAACCTGTAGGGTGCGCATGCGAGAAGTCCTTTCCATGTCCTCGGAAAGCAGATCTTCTGTCACTGACGTAAAAAATTACGCATCTGTGTTGACAGGTGCGTAGAAAACTAACATAGAAACTAGAGCGATCATCAGTTCATGTAAGATGGAAATGGGATGGTGATACTGGGGTGATAAATTACTTCTGGCGCTTCAAACATCAGAATAGTTGATGACACGTAATATTCCTTAAACGTTTAAAGGACAGTGATGAATGTGTGAACACAAGGAAACTCTGATTTTTGCTAATAGTTTGTATATGTGTTCGATGTGTGTCCCAGAATAAACAGCTGTTGGGATTTGTGGTATCAAAACCCAGACAATGTGAAATATATTTAGTAAATTCATTCTGTCCGTCTTCAGTGACACTACAATGTTGAGAAGTGTTTCTAAAATTTTCTGTTCACAATTACCCCTTTCTGCATTCCTAAGCGATGTCCATGTAAGTGAACAGTTGCTGACTTTCACCTGCAGTTCGAAATCTCACCGGGATCTGAGTCCAGTCAGGGGGAAATCCAAACACTTGCAACAAGAAAATTGAAAATTTTACCTGTCTCTTCTAAACTACTTGTGCCCTTCATGTAGACCTTGGCCTGTAGACGTCTACAGTTATAAAGATATAGTATAATGGGACACTCTACGCAACAATAATTCTGAAAGAGAGAAAATAAACACTACTGTGTCAACGTTGGTTTTTATTAGCTGTTGGTGGTAACGCTACATGTTTCTATCCTTTCCTTAGGTCATCTTCAGGTGTACAAGAATACTGGTACCAACAAAAAGAAAACAAACTCCATGTTTATAGTCCTCAAGAGAACTATATCGACCGAGCGACCGCCGTTTGTAGGCGAAGTTAGTGTCAAATTTAGCGGATAGAGGGGTGTCGCATGGTCAGCGCAATGACTCCCCACGGCCGTTAATTTCGGTTGTCTCGACCGGACTGGTACTAACAGCTACTAAAGACGAATGTTGACACAGTGATGCCTCTTTTATCTCTTTCAGAATTATGGTTGTGTAGACTGTCCCATTATAATGTTTCGTATGCATCCCATAAAGCCTACAGTTATTACAAAGTGATGCAATTAACGAATTGCAACCAACTATAAAGTTCACAATTGAAAGAGAACAAGAAGAATCTATTAACTTCCTAGATATAACAATACATCGTAATGAAGATAGCTTGCAATTCGAAATATATAGAAAACCCACACAAACAGACATCATAATACCTAACAGCTCGTGCCATCCATTCGAGCACAAATTGTCAGGTATTAACTACTTAATGAATAGACTCCACACATACCCAATAACAGAAAAAGGAAAACAAATAGAGAAGAACACTATTAAAAACATACTACATAACAACGGATACGACACTAACATAATCAAAAGATCGAATCAGACAAAACGAGAACAAAAATCAAACACAAATGACGACGAACAACAACCAAAAACAAAGTGGGCCATATTTACATATAGTACAAAAGAAGTAAGAAAAATTACAAAACTTTTTAAAGACACACAGATAAAAGTAGCATTCCGCACACGTAACACAATAGAAAACATACTCAAACAAAAACCACAATTAGATAAATACAATAAAAGTGGCATATACCAAATGAAATGTGTAGATTGCCCATTGAAATACATTGGACAAACGGGCCGAACATTTAACGCTAGATATAAAGAACATATACATGATATTAGAAATAATAATTGCAATTCCGGGTACTCAAATCACATACTAAATACGGGACATGCATACGGAACAATAACAGACGTAATGGAAGTTGTAACAACGGGAAAAAAGGGTAAACATTTGAATACATTAGAGAAATACAATATATATAAAATAAGTAAGAAAGGCCTACAAATGAATGACACACACATAGAAACATACAATCCCATATTTCAAACTATATACGAAATCTATACAGACTAACGGTACCTCCCTCCCCCACTACCCATTCCCCCTCCAACACCCACCAACATGAAACACAGCACACAATACACCAGACAGCACACGTATTAAAGATAAGCAGCGACACACACAGAGAGCGCCTACACTGAGTAAGTACAAATAACAGTATAAACATATAAGAATAACATAACAAGACATAACATAAGATAGTAACACAAATATTTGTATATTACAGACAACACATGAACAGCGATAAAAACAAGAAGTGGCCGCTGCAGCACCGTAGATATAGGGCATGTACCCTGAAAAATTTTAATTTGAAAAAGAAAGAGAACAAAGATCTTATAGACATTTTAACTTGAATTAAGGTTTAAAAAGTGCTAATTTAAAAATCAAATCGACGCGTGTAGATTAACAAAGATTTTATACAATTAGAAAGACTGGGATTTTTACATTTTTAACAAGCAGTGTAACAGTTACGTGAGTGATACACACCTGATGATGGCCATTTAGGGCCGAAACATGTAGTGTGGAGGAGGAAAAAGAAGTAAAAACTACAATAAAATTGTTGCACTTAAGACGGTATTTGTCCATATATAAAGTGATGCATTAAGAGCCGGTAATACTGACTAGACTATAGACTCGACGACCGATGAAACTGCGTTCCATTACCGACAGGGGCAGACCTTTTCCTCCTCTCGAGAGCGTCCAGACTGCCTCCGTGGCCCACCCAACATATCAAATGGATATAAATGGTTGTTTCCCAAGGGTTAAAGCGGCCTAGACGTGAAGCTGACCACTGACCTACATCTAGCGCCGAAGTTAGTAATTCGTGACGGCATACCTCCATTATCCCACGCATTTTCATGACGTGCGCGCGCACGCATCTTAACCAAGCTCTCCATACCAGAGATCTCACTGCACACGGGACGTTTCTTCCCTTAGCTTGCCTACCCAAAGTTTGACGTAGCCTCGGAGATGATTCAGGCGAAGTGTACTGTACAGTATGACATTCTGGTTTTCTCGTTGGGGGTAGGACCGCCTCTGTGGTCTGGTGGTCAGAGTTCCTGCCTACAGATCCAGAGCTCCGGGTTCGATTCCCGGCGCTACCAGATTTTCTGAGAAGTAGTGGGTCTCGAACGGGGTCCACTTAGCCTCGTTAGGATAACTGAGGAGGTATTTCAAGGGAATAGCTGCTCCGGGCTAGAAAAACGAGATTAACGGCCGTGGGGATCCGTTGCGCTGTCCACGTGACATCCTCTATCCGCAAAATTTGGCACTAACTTCACCGACAGGCGGCGATCGCTCGGTGGGTATAGTTCGCTTGCGGACTACAGGCCACGGAGTTTTTATTTTGGGGAATGGGGTGAGACTGAATCCACTTGGTAGGTCGGCCACTAATTGGTGTATTATATCGGTCCCAGATGATAGACGAGTATGGAGCATTTGGTTGAATGACAACTGGCAGGGGAAACTTTGTCCACCACAATTCCTATACAGCTGGACCTGGGCTCGAAACCGGGCCGCAGTGGTGGGAAGCCGGCGGCTAACCGCCTGACGAATCGCTTTGGCTCCCTGCGTCCAGTCTCTTGACATGTCGCCAGTGGCTCACTAGAAGTGGCGGCGTGCTGCCGACTTATTAGGCTGGCGGGCCCAGTAATATGCAGTGCGC